AATTTTTTTTAAACAAATTTTACCATAGAAAATTCGTGACGTAATCCCTTTAACCCTAACAGAGCAATAGTACTACTAGTAATAGTAGTACTTCGAGCCTGCATGGTTGGTATGTATCTGTCTGGTCATTGTGACCTATAACAGGATGGTTTATAACTAGCACAAAGCAGCGATTGACTGCGTCACAAGGCACCATATTGATCGTATTCAAATCCATCAAGCCAGCAGATTGTAAACAGGAATGTCGATATAAAGCGAAACTTGTGTTGTAACCGGAATAATCTTTAATAACTCATACAGTGTAGACACATTGCACAAAGAGCCACAAAACCACGCACACGCGCATGGCACGCGCGTGTGCCTCCTTCCGCGACCAGAACCAGAATCCTTTCCCTCATACATCTCTGTTCTATATATTCCCCCAAAACTCCTACCCGTTCTCCCAGACCGTGTCCTACCCCCCATTTCACAATGACCCTAGAAACGGCCAACCTAAAACACGTTTACTATTCTCCCTATAACATCAATCTAGCCGCACAAGATGCGCGACGCTCTGTCTAGCTAGACTATGACTAAAACAACTACTAGTCTAGCTCCATTGACTAATTCATGTAACACGTGCAAAACACATGTTACATTATCTCCCTTTTCCCCAAAATGATGACTACCCTGTCATCGATTCAGCTTCTTCGCTGATCTACACTTCAACCTAAACCTAAACAATTCAAAAAAAAAATTACTACCCTAATACTTTCCTAACTCAACCCAACGAGAGAAACGTCTTTCTGTCCGATTAAACAACCCACAATCAATACACAAACATAACAACAATCGAAATACAATAAGAAAACACATATGAAGCGTAGAAAACAAGTAACGATAAAGTTCGATCACAATACAAGTCAGAAACTCAACACATTTAGCAGTGAACATTTTGATATCGCTACAATTACTCTCACTCTTGCGTCTTTTTATGCTGTAACGACGTGGCGTATGCGTGTACCGACACGCATTCCTGAAACCATGTTTCCAACCATGTGCTCCATTATATCAGGAGTCTGATTATATCCTCATAATCCCATTAACGCACACAGGGGTATTAATAGACACAGCACTGATGTGGTACTTTGTCACTTCCACACATCATGGTAGGCTTTCACGGCATGTAGTGTTCTAGGCTATACTCTCTCCCATCTCGTCATCGGAACTCGCTCTTTTCGTCCTTCTCTTCCTCTCTCGCTCTCCGTTATTCTTCCTCTGTTTTGTTGCTGGCCCGTAGATCGATATAATGAAGTAACTTTCGTTGTGTCCGCAAAGGGATATCCAGGTTTTGGACTGTCCTGGCAACCAAAATGTAAACAGGAATGAGGATATAAAGCCAAACTTGTGTTGTAACCGGAATAATCTTTAATAACTCATACAGTGTAGACACATCGCACAAAGAGACAAAGAATGCGCACACGCACATACGCGCGTGTGCCTCCTTCCGTGACCAGAACCAGAAATCCCCCCTTCTACATCTCCTTTACGTTCTATATGTTCCCCCCAAAACTCCTACAAACATACTGCACGCACATGTACTTGTTCTCCCAGACCTTGTCCTACCCCCATTTCACAATGACCCTAGAAACTGCCTAACCTAAAACTCGCTTATCCAACTCCCTGTAACATCAATGCAGCCGCCAAATATGTGTGACGCTGCATCTACACAGACTAACTGTTCACCAAACAACCCTAGTCTAGCCTCGCTGACTAATTCATGTAACACGTGCAAAACACATGTTACATTATCAACAGCTCGTGATCCGCCCAAACAAATGTGCCCACAACAGATTCACTGTGATCCAGATCATATGATTTACCCAAACAAACATGCCCTACGTATACAACAGAATACAATGGTCGTCAGGGTATCAGCAATACCCTACCTAACACGAACCATATCCCTAATATAGTTACTGTAACATAGCCGTGTGAATAGCTTTTCAGTATAATGTTATCTACCAGCAACACTTAACCATACATCTAACCTGTTAGTAAACACTGATAAATAACACTAAAATAACCTTTGTGGTGGTGTCCAGAATTCAACACTGGCCTGTCTTGCCAATCACCGACATTGCTTGGTAGCTAGAATGGCAAGGACAGTATAGCCTAATTCGGTAATGGTGACAGTCGTCAGTAACATAATGTTGATTGTTTGATTTATTTATTCACGGTGTTTTATCTTGTTTGGATCTGGATATCATTATGGGTACTGAATATTACACTACACATGCAGGGTGCGAAATTAACGGGAGTCCGGAGTCGAATACTTCTAGAATTACTGTATTTTTTCAGCTAACGTCCAAAGAAAATTTGGCAGACGTGCAACTGCATGAATCTTAAAAATAAGCACAGGCGTTATTGTTAATATCTTTAATTTTGAACCTCAGTCTGCGGTCTCCCTCATTTTGCTGCGGACTCCCTATTTTTGAGGGTAGGGAGTCTGTTGGACTCCCTTGTTCAAAACTTAATTTCTACCCCTGCACATGTATGTCTAATTAGAAGTGAATATATTAATAATTATATGAATATGAAGGGAACTATATTCATAATTATGACTGTTAGAATTGTTAGACTATTTTGTCTGTATTTTATATGAATATGAAGGGAACTATATTCATAATTATGACTGTTAGAATTGTTAGACTATTTTAGTAACTCTAGCAATACCGTAGCAGTTATGATTACTTTTTCTAGTTCTAACTCCATCCTACTATTTTTCTTAGGTAAGTGTCTGGCAAAGAGGTGAGGAAACATGTTATTTGATTCTTTGATATGAACTGCCTCTTTTTGTAACTTTTCAGGCGAAAGATGTCGAAAGTTTGGGGAGAAAAGATCTGAAGACGAGGCAATCGATGACAGAACTTGCCGTTCATGGCTCGGTGGCATGCGAGTCTGGGGAGACAAGCGTGGTGTGCTACAGTAGTGTTAGCGGAGATGCGACGCAATGTGACCAGCAGTTCTCCAGGTAGCCGCTACGTTTAAAGTGATTACGTCACCGTAAATAGTAAAAAATAAAAAAAATATTTCCACTTTTTTACAAAATATAAGTGATTCTGTTCACTTTTTATGTTTAAATTGCTGCATTATACTTCCTATTTTACTATATTGTTTGATGTGAACATACACTCTTGACTCATACATAGCCCATAGCAAGCAATTAATGTCAGGAACATAATATCAAATTGTCCAGGTTTTTTGGATTTTTAACTAGTTGAGAAACAATCTTATCAGGTAAGAATTTGACGATACGTTTAGTCCCGTTAGTTCTTACTTTTCGTGACGTAGTCAATTTAAGGTTTTGAAGAAAAAAAGAAGCAAGATTCATTTATCATCGTAATTCCTGCGAAGTAATATGAATATAGAAATATGTCGATATGCAAACTAGGTGAAAGTGTTCTCTTTTAAGTAATCGTTTTATGTAAGATACAAAATTCACAAGTTAATCATTGTAATTTATGCAAACGAACATATATACAGAAATATATGCAAAGTAGATGAAGGGGTAGTGAAAGACCATAGTTGTCGATGAGTTGGCTAATTGTGAAGCTACCCTTCAGTACACAAGAATAGCAGTATCCAGTATGTCATTTTCATGTCTGTTTACTTTATATATTGTCTCGTGTGCTGCTATGTAGATTAAAGCATTTCATCGGTGATGCAGTGGAGCCGTTTCGTTCTGAGTTGGTGGACGTCCTCTACCCAATGTTTGTGCACATATACTTGGAGTTAATAGGAAACGGACAAAAAATTCCAGGTATACTTTTGCCTCCTACTGTACGAATGTTACGGTGTATAAGTTAAATTGGGACAAAGCATTAACTGCGTATAGCAATAGTGTTTTTCCTATGGCAATATTTCTACGACTGCCATGTATTCATGTGTGTTTCTAGCACAAAAATTCTATAGTCGACACCATGGGCTGTTCACGGAAGAGGAGTCGTGTAAGCCTACCATCAGTGCCCTCTCTCAAGTGCTCACCAGCTACGATGTGAACAAACACGAAACCGTGAAGGCCTTTAAGTATGTGTTCACATAAATATGCTGCGACGAACTGCATTCTTTTAACATTGAAAACCGAAAAATAAAAATTTCTTTTAATAATGATGGATCATATTCCTTCTATTATCATATATATTTATCATATATTATCATTGATTGCAGATTATAATGTTAGAGTACAATGGATGATTCATTGAATGCCAATGTGATTAGAACAGTGTGATTCAATAACGTGTAGTTATTTTAACTGTTTTTATTCGCAGACGGAACAAGTACAAGGTCACCCTCTCTGATGACGCATTAGAGTACTTGTTGAGATATCTCAAGGTCAGAAAACAAGCTGAATAGTTAATAAGCACAGAGCTAATTAAAATTGAGCCTCTCATGTTCATTTAATGATCACCTTCTCATCAGTTGGCTTCATTACACTCCTATCGACATTTGCTATAATTGAGCAGATAGTATAAAATGTCCTGTAGGTGGCTTGGAGGATATAAACACTTGTGTAATGTAAGTTTGCTAATATCCTCAATTTTCACGTCATCTCACTTCTAATTAAATCAGTCAACATTTTATTTCTGCTGCAGAGTGAAGACAATACGTTATTGCTGCAGATTTTCAACCTTCACATTCAGATCAAAGGTACATATCTAGTCTGACCTCAATATAACTCTTGCATATATAATATCAGGGTTCTCCCAAGGCTTCTAATGCTTATCAGGTCCAACATGCTTTCAAAGTGGAAGATTATTTGCGACGTCCCATAAACTCTACAAAATGCTCTAATTGCCTAAACGACGTGTCTTAATTTCTAGCTGTGTTTACTTTCCACAATCCCAACACAGTCCTGTTGTGTTTGCTGAGCATGATGTATACGCTTCTAAACTGATCAGGTGTACCTGTGAATTAGGACCGCTTGCGACATGCGTAATTACCTCCAATTAGCAATCGCAGATGAATTGCCCGATCACGTGACATGCCTTCTGAAATTCCTGGGAAGAACCCTGAATGTAATCTAATATTAGCTCTTATGATCCTATATCAACCAGTGGTCCAAACGATCAATTCCAGTTTCACAGTCAACGATGGAGGAGCATGTTCCAAACTGTGATCTTCCCCCATTAGGTCCCGATGCAAGACACCAGCTCTCACCGCCGCCGGTCGCAGATACAGGTGGCAGCACAAGCAAGTCATCGCTGCAGGCACTCGAGCAGTCCATACAGCAGGTGCGGGATGGCCCGCCCTGTATGCCGTCTGTCTGTCTCTACACCTTCCATGCTACTGCTAACAGGTAATTACCTACTGCACAGACTCCGGCAATTATCTTTCCTCAAAAGCACGTTTTGAGAAGTAATAAGTAAATGTGTATATATATAGTGCACGTACATTTTAGGATATTTTTACTCGTATTCCATTCAGGTAAGTACATTTTACATGTACATAATTCCTCCGTGCTACGAAAGAAATGTATTCCTAAAAAAAACAACGTATGAAACGGGAAATTTTGTAACGTGAACCCAACTTTCCCATCGACTCATTACATGATTAGGTTACATTATATTATATATGGAGACGTTTTCCTACCAAAACGGAACCACCCTATACGTGCAACGATTTTGGGAGAATATATCAGTCACGTCCAGTGATGTAGCAGAAATTTCAGTGTCACATTATACTGTATTCAATGCTATCAATCTTTTTGCGCTGAACTGTTTTGTCATTCGCTGTGAAAACAATCGAGTCTTCGTTGCTGCCGCCTTGCGGTTATATATCGTGTCCTGCCAATTCCGCGTGCACTCCGCTGGTTTGCCGCAGCTACGTTCCCGTGCTTGACGAGTCTTTGTTTCTCTGCAGTCTTAGCACGGCTTCCCTCTCACCTGATCTCTCGATGCTTGCCGGAGGATTCGAAGACTCTTCCATAAAGGTGTGGAGCCTCAGTCCGAGGAAGTTCCACCGGAATCCAACCGATGTGCAGAGAATCCGGCTGGCTTGCGACATTCCCGATCCGGAACCGGAAGAGAACAGGTATTTGTTTCAGAGTCGACATGTATTCGTTGTACCTAGAGCCAATACGATACATGAACGATAATGGAATTAACGATAATGGAACGTCGCTGGAATGAACTAAGCGAAAACCTTTATTCTGTCCACCAGGGTGCGCCACGTTGCTGAATGCATTGTAAACGCTATCCTTCCCCTCTCTTTCTCTCGCTCTCTCTCTCTCTCTCTCTCTCTCTCTCTCTCTCTCTCTCTCTCTCCGTCGTCCGTACCGTACGTCGTACGACGTACGTACGTCGTCGTACGTACGTCGACGTACGTCGTACGACGACGACGACGACG